CTTCCGGAGAGGCAGCGTGTGGGCCAGCTCCGCACCGCCGTGGTCTCTGCCCTGCCAGAAGGACGACACAGGGAAAAGCTCATTCTCGCCTCTGCCCCCACGCGCAACCCTCCAGCAAGCCCCGCGGGCGGTCATTACCCTTTATTAGCATCATGAACATTCATCCTGGCCCACCGCACCAGAAGTTTTTGGGGGGTATTTTAAATCATCTCCAGCAAGACAAAACGTGCCAGGCCCAGATGAAGCCCCTGACGGACTAGAAGAGCAAGTGACAGCGTCTGATGGAGCAGTTCAGAGAAGGCCGAGAACAAGGAGGGGAAGAAGAGGCCTCCAAAAAGCAGAATTTTGAGCTGGCTGAAAGGGATTCATAACTAGATCAGCGTTTTAAAAAGGCTGAAGTTTGAGGTCACAGAGGCAGCCAAAGGAAGAAAAACTGAATTCTTGTGCAGGTCTGTCTAATGCTAAGGCAGCGCTTTTTTTCCCCCCTTGTCATCTTCCTTTTGTTTTTTTAGCCAATTTTCATGAATAATTACCACGTTGAAAAAAATAGCAGAGATATTCTAAAAATCAAGCGAAATTAAAGATAACATCATGAATAAGTGGGAGCCTGCAGCTCCCAAGAAAAGCTTTAAAATGACATTTAGAACATCACTGTCGGAACAATGCAGTTTACAATCCTGATCCTAAAACAACATGGCAAGATTAATCTTACATAAATGCATTATCCTTAAGCTAAAGTCTTGATGAAGTGAAACAGACCATTTTAAATTAATGCAACATAAAATACGGCACCCATGTAAAATCCAAGCAAGTTTCAAGCTGTGCCTATGGCAGCCCTCAAAATAGCTAAAAGAAAGCCCGGCTCTGGTTGACATAATGTATTAAGTGCATCTCTTTTGTTAATAGATTTAGAAAATTCCTAATTAAACCTGGCCCGAGATTCATGACATTTACCAGTCAAAGTTTGGTTTAAGTCGAAAAGATTTGCAACAAAATTAAAGAAAAAAAAAGCTGCTGTACAGACGGCAGTATATTTGAAATGTAGGAAACAGTAACTGAATGAGAGATGTGATAAAACTTCCTTAGTTGGATGCTGAATTTCCTGCAGTAAACCAAGAAAGATGCTTTACATTTTTGCGCGGCTGCATCATGCCTGAGAGACAGAGCCACAATTCCAGGAGGAGGCATTCATCACCGCAATGTCTCGTATCGAACCGGCCCTACGTACACCGGGGAGCGGGGCAGGGTTTTGACGAGGCGGTGGAAGAGGGAGGGGAGGGGATGGCAGGCGCCTTGCCCCAGTTTCTCCGGGTAAGAACTGAAAAAAGGTGTGTAATTAGGGGAGCTTTTTTGGGATGGATAGCCTGCGGGGGGCTGGGTGGCAGAGGCGTGCCCTGTGGGTCCAGGCACTTCACGCCCACGGACCACGCAGCTCTGTAAAAGGGCGAATACACCCTTCCATGCAGCAGGGACGTGCAGCGGGGCCGGGGACGGCGGGTGGGGGGGTGGCTGGACCCCTCCGGTGTGCAGCTGTGCTCACGGTTTCACCGTGCCAAAACCCACCCAGCAGCTCACCCCCTTGTATTTGCACCATCCCAAGGGGGCAGAGGGAGGCCCACCCTCTCACCTATCCACAGTGGAACCAAACCCGTCTTTTCCGCAAGATCAAAAGCTACCACTCAGCATGTGGGTTGAAAAGAAATTCTTTACTGCGAGGTTGGTGAGGCCCTGGCACAGGTTGCCCAGAGAAGCTGTGGCTGCCCCCTCCCTGGCAGTGTTCAAGGACCGGGTGCAGGGCTTTGAGCAACCTGGGCTAGTGGAAGGTGTCCCGGCCCATGGCAGGGGGGTTGGAACTGGATGGCCTTTAAGGCACCTTCCAACCCAAACCATTCTATGGTTCTATGAAAACACATTAGTGGGCCAGCAAGGTTTCAAACCAGCTGATACATAGCTGAACTGAATCTTTCCCGAGGTGTGAAAAATTTACTATTTTAAAAAGTAGGCTTTCTTCACTTTCAGCATTTTAGAGGGGCGAAAAAAGCAGGGCTTTTTCATAAATGAAACCTACAGCTTCCATGCCAATAGCTGCTTTCATACTGATTTCTAGGGCTTGTCACCAGTTAACAGGAAAAAATCAGTTTGTGTACATGTTCATATACTGCAGACAGATTATCGCATGACATTGAAATAAATTGCAATGATCGGTTTGGAGCACAGATACCTCTCCAGTTTGCTGGCAAGGGGCAAGTGTTGGGATAAGAGCTACAGCTGCTAATCCTGTCTATAATGATCACAAACTAATGGACATACAGTACATGCATATTACTCAGATGCTGGTACAGCAGCCTCCATGATTCCTTGATTGTTTGCATTATAATCTCCATATGTATGAACGAGACAAATTAGGTTGCCATTTATTTGTTCATTATCTATTATTTTGATTAATGGAATTCTTGTTCTCAGAATAACTATTTAAAAATAACATTTGCAATAATGAGGACTGAACTATTAATCATGATCTTCAGAAGAAACTCTGCAAGGAACTGGGGCAAGACATTTCACATGAACAGATGTCATAAATAGGACTTCTAACAGACAGTGCTAAATTTTCAAATGCAAAAAAGAAGCCCCAGCCAAACCCAGAAACCATCAGCTTAAATAACTTTTTAATCTGTATTTTTTTGCCCCTTCCCTTCTCTCCAAGTTGCTTTAGGACAAACAGGGCTGTAGTGTTGCTGGACTCTAAGAACACAGAGGTAACAGATGCCCCCAGCCTTTCCCCCAAGCAATACAACACACATATACACACACATACACACACACACTCTCTCTCTCTCAATATGAACATATAGAGTGTGTGTGTATATATATGAATTTAGTGTTTTCTTGATGGTTCTTTTCAATCTGTCTGTCCCCCAAATTCTGACTATTCATATTTATGCTACCTCAAGTACTGAACACTGCAAGAAATATTTTTAAATACTTATAGTGGAAAAAAGGAAGGCTTATGGACTCCTCAATGCAGGTGGTTTACCCCTGTTAGACCAGACCTACTGCACAGCTGTCTTTTCAGTGAACAAGGCTGAAGAATCGTGGTGTCCACAACCCTTTCACAGAAAAGGACCATCACTGCCTGCTGGCATGAGGAAAGCTTCAGCCACAGATATCCATGACACCAACAGTTCAATTTTTTTCTGGGCTGTAGCTTTTAATTGACTTCCTGTAAGTAAAAGAGGTTTTTTCCAGGGAGACCAAAGGTCAGAGTCTGGGGCTTTTTGCTTGTTTCACTCACACAAAAGGCAAAGGATTTGGTGTCTCTGGCTCCAGCACCGCAAATACGCTTCACAGATACTCTCAGTCAGACAGAACTCCTCCTTGTTGCTAACCAGTAAGTTGTGCCTTTTGAACACCCAATTACTTGTCCCTTAAAATTTTTAGAGTGTATTGTGTGACACTGATAAGAGGATAAACCATATTCCTAAAGTGGGCCAAGTTTTCATATGTTTTTAAAAGCGCAGCAGCACAATTGAAACGCAAGGAATATGTACCAGAAACTGCTATCACTGCTGTCATCATTTTGCAAAAGCAGGCTACAGACTGACTCCTGTGCCACTGAACACACTCGGGAATTTGGCTTCTGGCTGCAGTGCTGCAGCATCAGGCAGTGCCTACGAAATGCCCCCACGCTTTAGGAGAGCTTTGAGAGCTGCAGCAGCTTCGAGATAAGCGTGGTCGCAGGGACCCTTCCGAAGGGGAGCCAGCTTTTGTCTTGCCATGTATAAGCAACTGGAGTGCGCTCCCCGAATTCATGCCTACTAAATGAGGTCTTTGGATGCTGCTTAGTGTATTCCAAATTAAGATACATATTCATTGTGGATAAGCAAGCTTAATTATAGAGATATTGGGATAGTTACCACTTATAAAAATATTCAGAATATTCAGTATGTGTAATATGGCAGCATTTCAAGAGAATCTACACAACTTTGCACAGATTGTATTGACTTGGGCTATGTAATGAGCACATTTTGTCCTTTAGACAAAGAAGAGTAGGAAATAATCCGCAGTTCATGGGAAGTTCATTTGATGTAAAAATATCCTCCTTTGGTTTTTTTTTTAAAACATTCAGGTAGAGGTAAGAAACCACAGTAAATAATGTCATGAAAGAAATTAACACCTTATTTCCTATGTTTTGTTTATATTTCATCGGTGCTGATAACATGCGTGGAGCGCAACGCAGTGCTAGTATTATCAAAACTGGGTGTGTATAGTCGTCTTTACATGCCCCTATAGGTGGCCTGCTTTTCAGTGATGCTGAACACCTGCATCTCCTGTTGGTGGTTCACTACCCTAAAGTACGTTTCCTATTTCGACATCTAAATATACATTTAGGTGGCTCATTTTTAAAAAAGCCTGGCTGTAGACCCTATTTTTAACATGCAGATTTAGAATTATTCTGTGAGAAAATTGCTATGTAATGTAGCACTGTTGTAAGCTACTGTGCTGGGCGACTTAAAAGCCCTACCTAACATTCTTTCACAAAGGAAACCTTTAGAGATGATCTTCTGGTTGACTACTGAAGGGAATGGGGGAACTGCGAAATACTAATGTTAATATTTTTACTCTTTAGCAGACTACTCAGGGGAAGACATTTTACCTGTGAGGAGGAAATATTATGTAAAGTGAATCACTTCCACTTAACATTAAACAACCCCTTTCATTCTCAAGCTACCGTATGTGGTAACTATTGTTTCTTGCTCGGAGCATGTGCATGGCACTTCTGTAACTTGAACTGTCTTTACACCGCAAACTCTCATGAATAGATCTGTCCCCAATTAAGAAATGAAATGAAGACACGGAGTGACAATGTTTAAAGTGGGAAATCGTAATGTTACCAGAATGCTGCAGGCATCGTTCTCAGTGCGAGCTCGTTCCTGTGCTTCTAAAGGCCCCTACAGCTGCAGGTAGAAATAAGCATACTCCCTCCCTAACACCCAGGGACTGTGCAGGTGGAGTCTTCTGGGGGAGCGCAAAGCCTGCTCGCGATAAGAACAAGCAAAACGGCAGACAACTGAATAATCCTAACCGACACAGATGCTGACGAACTGAGACAAAGGCTGATACAGAGGAGACAACAAGACAAAAGAAAGGGAACTATCTCCTGCAGAAGTGATCATATTGCAGCTTCTGTGGAAGAAATACTGACTGGCAAGAGATGAAGCGATTCATGAAGCTAACCCCTAACCAGTATTCTGCTGTACTGAGAGATGGTGTAATTTAATCAAATACTTTGAAGACAGATTGACACAGACAAGAGCAAACTACATTTGCCATGGAAGAAGTTAGTCAATAAATTCTGGCATGGCAGTAGTCTACAAAGACAAGATTATGAGTAAATTTATTGTGCAGTAATATAACCCGAATTACAAAAATAGTCCAGATGTGGACTGAGCTGCCACATCTCTTCTTGGATAGACACAGCCATTTCAGAATTTTTTGGAAATGTATTTCCAGCTTTGACCTTACACTCTCTTTTAGAGGAAAAAAGCACAGATGCATTGAGAATCCCATATCAATTACACGAGATAAACCCATGACTATGAAAAGATGAAAGAGCATTTTAAAGATGCTGAGGCTTACTAAATCTACATTACTAAACTGATGGGCACTAAAGGCTAGTTGAGCTATACTGCAGAGCTGAAGTGTTTCACTCTGTCACATACTTCTACTGAGAGGTATGTCCTTGCATAATTTTATTAGATAAGCATCACAAAGAGAGCACTTTCATCTAGTTCTCCAACTATAGCATAACTTTGCTGCTACTGTCGCACAAAAGCAAAGCAAACACTGCCCACAACAAATCCTGAAGTGCTATGCTATTTTGCAAACTTCATGAGAAGTGTTCTTGGTCACTCCTACGGCCTGAGAGCAGCTCAGATACTCCTGTGGCAGCAGCTGGGTTCCCCACGTAGCCTTTGCGCCAGAAAGGTACAAGTGCAACAGAGAAGGTGCTAAGAGTCTCCGTGAAGGGTGCAGCATACGAACTACGTGATGTGGTAGTGCCTGGTGAGGATGTGTACTTAGCACATAGACACCAACTCCACGAAGGCAGAACCAGCACGGAGATGCATTCTCTCAGCACAGCCGAAACCATCTGCAATTGTTTAGTAAGAGACAGGACAAGAAAAGTGCTGTAGTCAAAATAAAACTGAAACCATGGATGAAAGGAAAAGCAAGTGATGCTGGAGGCAGTTTCACCATGAAAGAAAACTGCCCAGGAGAAGGTGTGTCCTGAAACCCTCCCACCAAGTTGGAAGACAAGAGTGGGAAGGTCCAGGTTACGACACTGGTCTCCGAAGACTTAAGATACTTGAAACAAACTCAGTTTAATGGTTTTCTATGTAATAGCTTTGTCATGTATAATTCAGAGCGCTGAGAAGTGTTTGTGAAGACAGGAGACTGTATGCTAGAAACAGGACAGCACAGCATCACACAGAGTCCACAGTAACTGGACGATGAGAGCCTTTCTAAGGCCAGATACTGGATATCAGGGTACGAACAGTCCTCAAAAAAACACAGATTATGCATTAATTGTATTGTTGCAGCAGAAAACGTGTGAGTTGTAAAAGCAAATTATTTCTAGGAATTCTTTATGTACTATCTCACTGTTACGTATCACTGTGCATTACAGAGTTACCTATCCCACCTAGTCCCCAGTAAGCCGGTAACATGTTTATTTAAACACTAACTATCTGCTCTACATTAACTGACTCTCCATGTAACAGACTTTGATAAAATGCTTAAAAAATTTAAGAGCTTGAAATTAAGCAACGCTGCTATTATTTATACATGTTATAGAACAGTCAGCGCTTTAGTGATGAGTATCACCGTGCAACTTTTTCCCAGCTACCACATTAAAAACCAAACATTCAATTAATTGTAAAACGTACTTGTTTTGGGGCATCTGCGGAGGTGGTGTGAACTTCAGTACCTCGGAGTCCATTAGACTCAAATACCACTGTGGGAACAAGAGGGCTTGTTAACAGATGAACATTCAAGCTTCGTTAGTGTGTGTACATTATTTGAGACCATTACAGATTAACCACGTTCAAAAAAAGACACCAGCTACTAGCCTGTGGCTGGAAAATACCAATTTACCGTAACACTTACTGTAAGAGAGTGTGCTAATGGCAGCCTAGGGCCACTGCCCTTTTTAATTCAGACTTCGGCGCTGAAGAAAGCAATCACTGACAACATTAATTATCAGTGTATGTGTAAAGGGACCCTCTTCTTGCATTACTTACCATTTGGCCTCTGTCATTTTGCATCAGACTGGCTTATGTATGCATCATTCACACTCTTCAGGAGGAACCCGCTAGTCTCACTGTCTGGTGCAATGCTCAGGAGGTCTCTCAACACCCGGTGGCTTTAGCCTCCTACAGTTGATCCACAGACTGCGCCAGGTTAAAAATGGCTGGTAGGGATTTCCCATTTTAGGGCTGACCGATCCGCGGAAAAATCTTGTTTCCCGCAAAAATGCTCCTGTCAACAGCAACGATGAGGCAAAACAAAGCCTTATGTTGTGCTGAAAGGGGTACTTTGATTTCAATTTGTGCTGGTGGCAATAGAATTCATTAGCATATTCATTTCTGAGTACCCTACTCTCTAATTAAAATAAAACCTTTGCAAACAGACTTATCTTAAATGCATTGCAGTTTTATGGTGTTTGGGCGGGGATCAGGTAAGCAATATCCGAAGAACAAGAGCAATAGTCATAAACATAAAAAACCTGTATATTAGATTTAGGTACTGGAATTACTTAGGTTAGCATGGTATGTGAAATGTAATTCTTTGCATTTGGTTAGGTGGATCCGAAAGTAGGCAAATGGGAAAGGGAGAAAGCAAGAGGGAGTGTGAAAAGGTACCTGTGTGGGACCTCTGATGAGCCCTGAGGTGACTGGGTTGGGTAAAGCATTTTCCACATTCTCTGCAGATACAGTCTCCTTGGCGTGTTTGTGTCGAAAGTTGAGAAGAAAACATTATGCCAGAAGAAAACATCATTAGTATGTCTAATGTGTCATTATGTGAGGCTACCTTCAGGCCCTGGATGACAACTGTCAGCCTTCATCTAGGCACTGGCTGACAGGCCAGGCACACACAGGACTGCAAGAATGCATAAATTACATTGAATTAAAAAACGCTCCCCATGATGTGCCCGCACCAGGACTGGCATGTCAGGTGTGCGCTTTTCAGAGCAGCTGGATCCACTTCTCAGCCATCACCCAGCTTTGTCAAGCAGTACATCAGGCAAATCAAAGTGACTCCAGCGTGGCGGAGACAAGTCACATGGATAATAGGAAGTGAGTAGGACCAGAGCCCGACTGTCCCCCCTGGGCAGCAATACCTCAGAGACAAACGCAGAGCGAGCGGAGCCATCACAGACTGATCAAACCTTTCGCCCCTGCCTACCTGCCTGCCGGTGCTGCTTTGACCCCGGACCTCTGAGGCACAGACGAAAGACATCTGTGAATGAAAGTGTCATTCCGGACATTTGGAGCTGGTAGCAGCACAGCAGCCTTCCCCCAGCCCTGGGTAAACATGTTTTCTAGGCCATTAGCATTTGTGGAAAACCACTCAAACCTCTCCTTTTTCTCCAAAGGTCAGTTTACAGCATCTGACTTAAAGGGCTGGTCTTTGTCTTTTTGCTGCTGATCAAAAAAGACACATTTGACTTTTATTGGGCTTTTTTATTATTAAAAAAAAACGTATGTTTGAACATCATCTTTTCTATTTTGGTAAAACGCCCTCTTCGGAAGGGAAGAGTTGATGTTTCCATTTGCCACTGGAATATTTTGGCTTTTAAAGAAATTCTCAAGGGCTTGTCAGCAGAAGTGAAGTTTCAGCTTTTCTTTCATTTTTTCCCCCCATTAAGAATTTTAAAAGAATAAAACTGTGAAAAAAAAAGTGGCAACAACCTCCCGTCCCCTAACTGAAAAATCAACTGCAGGGTGCCAGAGGGCTCATCCAAAATACAGATGTTGTACCTGAAAATGAATAGAAAAGACGACGGGCTGCCATTTACTCTGCTGGTCTGGCACCAAGCATCCTATGATGGTTTTTACCACGACATATATTGAAAAGAAATGTCTGAATGA